TTAAAGTGCATATATATATATATATATATATATATATATATATATATATATATATATATATATATATATATATATATATATATATATATATATATATATATATATATATATATATATGGGCACAAATCAAAATATTTTAAAGTGCATACATATATATATATATATATTATATATATATATATATATATATATATATATATATATATATATATATATATATATATATATATATATATATATATATATATATATATATATATATATATATATATATATATATATATATATATATATGGGCACAAATCAAAATATTTTAAAGTGCAGTTTAATGATAAATTTAATGCCAATTATATTGTTTTTTAAGACACTGTGGTTTTTTTTAGTTCATATTTTTTTATGTTTAGTTAAATCTTTTTTCCTTTTAATTCAAGTGCCTTTCAAAATGGTTTAATGTTCTATTTTAAAGGGTATAATTTTCTACCTTAAGAGTAATATACCCTTAATGTTGTTTCTACATTTTTTTTTCTAATAAACTCTTTCCTTTCTAAAATAACATGTGCACCTTTTCTGTATACATAGAGCTTATAAGAGATTTATAATTAGATTTGTTTTTCTCCTAAAGGCATATCATTAATAGCTCAGTGGTTTAGTGCGCTGTTATCAGTGTCGTTTTGGGGGGTTCAAGACCTCCCTTTGTTGTAATAAATTTTAAAATTTTATAATCTTGCCTATTTATTGTAAAAAATATATTTATTGTAAAAAAAAGACTTCTAATTGTTAAAGCAAAGTTCAAAAAATTTTCTCATACATATATTATACATGGTTGTTCCTATATACTGTCTGCAAACAAACTGTTTTTTGTTATATTGTGTTATACTAGATTCTATACAATAAAACTGCTTATTTAGAGAACCCGCTTGAAAATTGTTTATTAATTGCAATTGGTATAAGAGTTTGTAAAATGGTTTGTTTTTCAATTACATGCATAAATTCGATAAATTAGTGGTTGAATGCGCTGTCATCGGTGTTGTGTTGCAAGGGTTCAAATCTGCCTCTTAATATAAAATACTTTTTCAATTTTTTCAATCTGTTCATATATATTTATAGCAAAAAAATAAATATAGCAAAAAAGACTTTTATTTGTTAAAATAAAGTTTTAAATTTTTTCTAGGTAAGGCTTTTTTTTGCCTCCACAGCAGCACCTTCTGGAGTAGCAGGACTGTCTTAATAAATTATTTTTTTTAATTAAGTTTCAGACCATAATTTTTTTTAGATCATTTGCAGCTTTTATGAAATAATTACCAGAGGACATTAATACATAAGTATCTCTATCATGGCATATACGTAACAAATTTCTCCCAGTGTTTTGATGTTTTTAAAAATTTTAAGCTTTTTTAAAAATTCTCTCTCTTTCGTTTGTTATAGTATATAATATCTTTGTTTATGTTATGTATGTAATATCTATAAAACTTTGAAAATGTTTTATTTTGCATTTTAAAAAACCAAAAAAGATTTAAAAAAAAGTGCCAGTGGTGGAATTTAAGCCACAGCACTTTCCTTTAGTAACTCTGTGGGCTAACTACTTTAACCATATAGGTGTGTTGTCTGACGAAAATTTTAAAAGCATTTAATAAAAAAAAACATTTAATAAACAACAAATAAGCTTTTTTAAAATTCTCTCTTTCGTTTGTTATAGTGTATAATATCTTTGTATATGTTATAAAATATCTATAAAACTTCAAAAGTATTTTATTTTGTATTTTAGAAAAATCAAAAAGGATTTTTTAAAAAAAAAAAAAGTTCCATTAGGATTTGAACCACGGCGCTTTGCTTCAAAAACTCTGTGAGGTAACAACTTCAGCCATATAGGCATGTTGTCTGACAAAAATTTTGATAAACAAAAGACTTTAAAACTGCAACTAAATTCCATAAGTTAAAATTAAGGAGATGTTGCAGCAATGCATTTTTCAAGCGAAAGTAAAAATTGATATATGTTTTAACATTACATAATTTGAAGTTTACATAATTTAGATATTTGCACACACTTTTGCTCATTAAAAAAAGTGCTGTGACTTTTATTACCTCACTTGCAATGGCTGCCAAGGGTTCTGTGTCAAACTACTACTACTACTACTACTACTACTACTACTACTACTACTACTACTACTACTACTACTACTACTACTACTACTACTACTACTACTACTACTACTACTACTACTACTACTAAGTTCAGTATTAATATAAAGAGATAATAATAATTGTTATTTTTATTATTGCTAGCTTATTAAATCAGACTAATGTTTGAATCCATAGTTACCATTTCCATAGTTACATTAATTATAGATATGATCATTAGTTTAATTATTTACTTATTAATATGACTTTATATAATTTTTGTTAAATACTTTTAATGCAATGGTTGTAAAGTTATTTTAAATACTATGTGTAGTCTTGCTTAGAATTCTTAGAAACACAAAGTATTTTTAGTGTTTTCTTGACTTGCATGAGTCAAAGAAACACTAAGAATTCAAACAATCTTATAGATAAGTAATAAAATGAATCATTGTTTTCTTTTTTTCATTGTTTTCTTTTTTTCTATTATTTAAATAAAATAAAGTTAAAAATGATTCGAACTTTTTCTATATTAAATTTTAAATAAGAAAATATAATATTTTTATCGAAAGGTTGAAGCAATTAATAAGATGAAAACCATGACTGAATATCTTCATCAATGTAAAGATCAAAGTGTAAGTCAACCATTGTTATACATTGTTATTCTTATTTTTTATGTTTTATTAACAAAAAATGTTTTTGCACATAATTAAATGTTGTATTTAAAAACAAGAAAATTTTCAACAATGTTATTTTGATCAAATAAAATCAATTTTCTAACAAGAACCTTTTAGTTACCAGGCCTTTTAGTAACACAAGTACAACCTTTTAGTAGCACAAGTATACAGGCAGCATTAATGTAGTTTTTAAAATCATTTATTGCTGTCTGAAGGATAGGATTGCTTGAGGAGTCAGAAAGAATCAGCAATGGTGGTCTTGCTAAATCCATAAACTGAATCATTTATACTATATTTAAAATGTTTTTTTAAACAGAACATAAAACTTTAGTGATACATCGTACTAAGCTTACCATAAGCTGTGTTTCTGTGTTCTTTTTTTTCTGTGTTTTTTGATACTTCTATACTTATTTTAAAACATGTAAATTTGATTTTTTTTTTAATGCATTTATAAATAAAAAAAGATTCCAAGAGATAATAATCTTTCTTTATTTGTAAAAGCATTTGGAGTCTCTACAGAGACACATTGACTCTGTTTGTAACTATCTAATGAAGCTGATAATCCTTTAAGTTAACAATGGAGTTTTAGCCCATAAAATTGTAATCTTCACCTCAAATAAATTTTTAAACATCTTGTGTCACAAACATAAAATTGGGAATGAATCTAAGCTTATGATCTAATGCTGAACTACTTAAATACAGAGAAGCTAATTGAGCTAATGCAGAACTTCTAGATACCAGTTATGTATTAAAAATTTATCATATTTCAATTTATGATGATTTTTCTGCAGCAATTTTTTAAACTAAATTTAAACAGTATTTAAAAAGTACGTAAGTCACATAAAATAGTTAGTAAAAAACTTATTTTTATTATAATTTTTAAATTCTTATTTTTAAGTTTTATATGTCAGCTCCTTTTTTTTCTTAAAGATTTTCTTAAATAGATTATTTTCATAAATAATTTTGTCTTAATTTTTGTCTTAGTACTAATTTTTTTAATTTCAGTAATAACAAAACCAAAATATTTTGATATATCAGTTATTGAAGTTGAATCCAGAGATTTGTTAAGATAACGAAATCTCCTGCAATTTTTAATCTTGAAATCCATTTTACATTTTAGGCCATAAATGAATGATCACTTACAACTCATTTAAATAACAGGTGGTTACTAAAAATCCGGACAAACTTTAACTGAATTTTAAATACCACAAGCTAAATCTTTTTTATTCATGTTTATATCCATTTTATAGCTTATTTAATTCTCTATAAGTTAATTTTTTTTTTTTTAGATAATTAATAATAATTAAAAAAATAATGATGACCAAGCAAGAAGAGGTAAGAAAACGGATTTACGAGTTCTATTTGAATAATAAATTGCAAGGTAAAAAGTTCACAGTAGCTCACTTTAATGCTGAAAAAATCCCAAGAAGCACTATCTATGATATAATCAAACGTGTTGAGAATGATTCTGGGCACAAAAGAGTGCAAGGAAGTGGTCGTGTGGCCAAAATCATGACCCCTAAGAGGATCAAGCGCCTGAAAGCCATATTTGATCACAGTGACCGAGTTTCGATGAGGCAAGCTGGTCGAAAATTTGGATGCAGTCATTCACATATCATTAAAACTCTTGCCAAGTACACTGACATCAAAAGTTATACAAAACAGGGTATACCTCATCGACAAGAGAACCAGAATGAGCGAATCAAAACTGGCATTGATGGTCTTTATTGCTTTTTTAAAGGAAAATCGGTCATCCTTGACGATGAGTCTTACTTCACGCTGTCACACTCAACAATTAATGGAAACAGCACCTACTACTCTAGCAACAGAGACAAGACTCCACCAAGTGTTAAATATCGCAAAAAGCGCAAGTTCGAACCCAAGGTGCTTGTCTGGCTGGCCGCTTCTGACAAAGGTGTTTCAAAACCACTTTTTATACCCAGCGGCCTTGCAGTCAATAAAGCCATCTATGAAATGAATTGTATTAGGAAAAGATTAGTGCCGTTCATCAACGCTTATCATGCCGATGGTAATTACATATTTTGGCCGGACCTGGCTTCATCGCATTATGCCAAAACCGTGACCAGCTGCTACGAGACTCATAACATCAATTTTATCAAAAAAGTTGACAATCCGCCAGCCGTACCGGAGTGTCGCCCATTCGAAGACTTTTGGGCTATTTTGAAAGGCAAAGTGTATGAGAGTAACTGGCAAGCAAAAGACGTGAAACAACTACGAACCAGAATAAAGCTTTGCCTGAAAAAAATTGACCTTAACCTTGTATTTTCACTTTTTGGGTCAACTCGTGTTAGAGTTGGCCGAATCTGAAGAAACAGACTGGTTGAAGACAAACTTAATTAAAATAAATAAATAACTAAAAACTCTTTTTAATGATAGTTTTATTTAATCTCTACCATAAAAACTTTGGGAGTAATTGCACTTGAAAGTTTGTCCGGATTTTTAGTAACCACCCGTTATATATATTAAAAAAATTGTTACTGTAAAAAATTGGAAGAATATTCCCTTTAAATCAACAGTTTTGCTTACAGTAAGCTAGCCACAAAGCTTACAGTGTACAACTAGTCATTATAAAAGTATTGTATTAAAAGCAGGATCAAGAAACAGATCAGCATTTTGACTAAGACAAACAAGCAGTAATAAAAAACTATTTTTAGAGGGTAATTTTTGCAAAGATGAGGTTTTTTTTTTGGCAAAGGTTGATCTTTAAGTTAGTCATGATAGTTGTTGAGGAAACAAATGTGGTGGGTGAGTTGTGTGGTGTGTGGTGTTACTTGGTGAGTTGTGTGGTGTGTGGTGTTACTGGATGAGTTGTGTGGTGTGTGGTGTTACTTGGTGAGTTGTGGCCAGTGATTAAAAAGGTACAAAATTAGTAGTAATGTTCAATCAATCACCTACAAAATGTTGCTAAATGAATTTGGACAGCAAATAACTCTAATAAAAGATACTTTGTTGCATCTATTTTTAAAAAAATTGTATGCAAAGGGATTAACAGACATAGATCTACCTGAAAATGAATCTTTGATTTTATCTAATAATGATTAAATCTGTATTTTCTATCATTAATGTGCTAGTACCAGTAAAAGAATAGTCGAAGCCTTTTTCTGTTGGGATGCTAATTTGCAAATAATATTGCCATAGTAACAACATGGTAAAAATGGTAAAAAAAAAGCTTAAAGATTAACAGTGTTAAAAGTTGAAAATTGCATATATCTTGCATTCGACAGTGGCGTACAATTATGACTGGGATGCTTCAGTATCTGCACAGTGATAGTTGCTTCAGTATCTGCACAGTGGTAGATTCTTCAGTATCTGCACAGTGGTTGATGCTTCAGTATCTGCATAGTGGTAGGTCTTAATCTGAAATAGAAGTAGTAACAGTTTCATCTTGAACAAAATGCTGCAAATTAATAGCTAATGTCTAAATGATAATATCTAAAAAAAATGTTATATGAAAGTCTCTCCTCCTTTCATTTAATCTACAATCTGGTTTACCTCTATATAAAAAGTTCTTTTCCCCTCAATTAAGAAAAGTTTTCTGTTTTCTGTTTACAAAACATCACAAGAGTAAGTAAGGGCTATAAAAATGTTATCCACAAAATCATTAAGTTGCCAGATAAAAATATGTATTTTTGATTTTATTTTAGAGTTTCATTTTTTTGGGGGCAAAAAATCATTTATTCAAAAAGTTTTAAATTTTATTAAAAGGACTTCATTGATCTGAAATGTTTAGCATTTAACAACATTAGTATCTTGGTGGGGAAAAAGAAATTGATTTCAGAAATTTGAGATTTCAGACACAAAAACCTTCGTAGCATACCAATCTCTCTAAAGGCATATGTTGTCTTTTTCTATTTTTGCATTCAAATAAAGTATCGAATTTTCAAAATCAATCCAGTGAATTATTTTTCCAGTGAATGATTTTAAAAATTATATTAGTGTCACCCTGTATGCTTTTACCCTGAAATGTTTTATTCATAAAGTTGATTTTGTTGATTTATCACTGAGGTTTATAAGAAACGTTAAACTATATTATGAATTTCTTCAACCATAAAGTTTTTTAAAATTAAAACATTATAATTAAACATTTGGTTTTAATTAAAGCATATTTATTTAGAAAGAAGATAAAATAGAAATGATGCGAAATATTTTCAATGGATCAAGTTACAAAAAAGCTTTTTCAGAAATAGTGTCTCCACTAGATCCAAGTATTAAACTGAAATGTCTCAGGTTTCATTTTAAAATAATTTTAAAACACTGGATTAACTGTTTACTTTAATTTGATCAGTGATGTAATGGTTGCTTTATTTTGACCAATCATTATAAAACTAAAAGAAAATATCAGCATTTTGGGTAAAAAACATATTGATATTATTGAGTGTTTTGGATAGTGGGTATTACTAAACAAAAACCAATCAAGTATTTTGCTTCTGCCCCTTGATTTTAAATTAACCCACATTTATTATTTATTTATTATTTATTATTTATTATTATTTGTATTATTTTTATTATTTCTGTCTAAATTAGCTGTGTTAATATGTAAAAAAAACTGCGGGTGGAGATTTAGGTTCTAAATCTCCATCTGCATTTTTTTTTAGATATTGCTTTTATTAAGTTATAGGTTTGTTTGTATGTACATATGTTAAAACCAAGCCCTACTTGATCAATCAAATTTAGATCCTGCTCAAAATCTGACCCATTACCACAACCCTTGTTTATAAAACCCATATAATTATTGAAAATTTTTTAGTAACAATTTATTCATCTAGATCTTAGTTAATGTTATTAATTAATATTATCAATTATTATATTTATTATCAATTATGATGATTTTTTTTTATTATTGTTATTTATAAATAGATTTATCAGTTAAAAATTGAAAAATTAATTTTTTTATTTATATATATATATATATATATATATATATTTTTACATATTTTTGATACATCACTTATCATTAATATATTTGAAAATAAAATTTATTAGGAATGTTTGTACACTTTTAGGGTTGAAAAATGCAAATATATGGATTCTAAAAAAAAACCACTTTGGCTAGTGTTTGAAAATGTTGATGAAGGAGCAGATGATGTTGTTATCATTTTTAAAAATGGAGATGGTAATATTTCATAAAGTTCTTTTTAAGCCTTTTAATTTATGTCTTATTTTGTAATAATTATATATTATTTTTTTATAATTTGTGCATTATAATTATTATATTATTAATTATCTTTTGTTTTAAAATAAACTAGTACAAGCTAGTATAAGTACACCTGAGTGGTGTGTACATCTGAGTGGTGTGTACATCTTAGTGGTGTGTACATTTTAGTGGTGTGTACATCTGAGTGGTGTGTACATCTTAGTGGTGTGTACATCTGAGTGGTGTGTACATCTGAGTGGTGTGTACATCTGAGTGGTGTGTACATCTGAGTGGTGTGTACATCTTAGTGGTGTGTACATCTTAGTGGTGTGTACATCTTAGTGGTGTGTACATCTTAGTGGTGTGTACATCTTAGTGGTGTGTACATCTTAGTGGTGTGTACATCTGAGTGGTGTGTACATCTGAGTGGTTTTTACATTTGAGTGTGTACATCTGCATTTGAGCATTTTATGTCACAGTAACAAACTAAATTTTTGTTAGTTAGCATTTATACATTAACTACTTTGGAAAGCAATATATTCTAGCCTGAGTCTTTTTTTTTTTTAATTTTTTACTATTAGTAACAAGCTATTACATTTAGAAAAAATTTTTAAAGTTGTTATTACTATTGTTACTATGAAAATAATGAATAACTATAAAATATAATTATTAAAAAATAATAATTTAAAAAAATCAGATAATTTATAAAGTTAAAAAGTTAAAAAAAAAAAAAAAAAAAAACTTTAGAAAGTTTTAAATGTTTTTCAAAATTTGTAGATTGGTTTAAATTAAGTTTTTTAATAAGCTTTGCGAACATTTATTCATTTATTTATTTGTATTATGAAGTACACTCTGTCAGTTAAATGTTCAACGGCGCAGCACTACATATAATTCTATTGTTACTATTTAAAACTTTGAAACTATTTAAACACTTATTATAATTAAGCTTCTCCAATTTAATCAAATGATTTTTTTGTTTTAAAAACAAGTAATTTTTGTCATAATTATCAGAACTATGTATTTATAGAATAAACAACACAAAAAATATAATCAATGAATTTAATCTTATGGTATATAATTAATCCTTAAATGTCCAAAACAGTTTGAAAGAAATTCAAAAAAAATTTTTTTTGATACAAGTGATCCTTGTGACATAAGACAATTGGGGAAAAATATTTGAAACAAAAAAATAATGGTAAGTCTTATTTTTGAGTTATCAGATATGATAAAACTGGTTATTCATTGAAATATTTGTATTTAATATTTTATAAACACATTTAATATATTATTTACTATATATAAATTATCCATAAAAAGATTATTAATAAAAAACTTTTATTAATTTTTTTTCAACAAAGAAACACTTTTTTAATTAAATCCAAATCCAAATCCAAATCCAAATAAGCTTAATTATAATAAAATCCAAATCCAAATAAGCTTAATTATAATAACAATAAGCTTAATTATAATAACTATTTTTTATTAATCAAAATTAGTTTCTTTCTTCTACAACTGCAGTGACTACATCATTTCCAATAGAAAAAGTTATCACTTTCATCTGTGTTCTCATTCTCTCCATCAATTACAGATTAATTAGTAAAACATTAGTTATTTTTTTATTTCTATTCATCTAGAAAAACATAAATAAAAATGTACAAATATAGATAAATAAAGAAGTTTTATAAGTGTGAAAATGATTGAATGCTAACTTTATAGACAGCAATAGTGATCATAAAGATAAATAAATAAAAAATTGAATATTTAAGTTGAATGTGTGTGGTCTGTTTAGAAAAAATTTGTAAAATCCAATAATTTGTTCCAGTAATATGTTGCCTTAATTTTTTTTAAACTCATGTTGCAGTGAAGCCAGGTCAAGATTACAATTATGATGATCAACCTGATGTTATATTTAATCATACAATCTACTCATGTCTGGCTGCTTTGTAAGGTTCGCTTTTCTAGGCAAAAGCTAAATAAAGTAAACTCTGACTATAAATGCCCCCTGCTTTATGGGGCTCTTGGTTGAGTAAAGTAAAATAAAAATACTCAACTTGACAGATGTTCACTGTATCCAGATACTGTCTTATAGCCTTCTAGGTTAACCCTTGTTGATATAAGAACTGTTTTATATTTTTATTATTTTTTTGGACTTGAATAAATGATCTGATTTTTTTTTGATTTAACTATTGAAATTAAATTTCGATGGTTAAATCTAAAAAACAAAAAACAAAGACTAAAGGAAGAAAAGATTGCTGCCCCATGCCAAACCCTCAGTCGATAAATAGCCTGACTCCCCTGGGAGTCAGGCTATTTATCGGTCAATGTATGGCATGAATTGAATGTTGTACAATTGAACGCTATTACTGACCACACTAATAATTTTTTTTGTTTATAACTTGACCATAACTATTTAAATGTTTGATGATTTAAGCATTTCAGAAATGCTAATATAAACTTAACCTAGGAAAAGAAAATAAAAAAACTTAATTAAACTAAACTTAAAAAAAATTAAAAATTAAAGAAAAAAAGTAAACAATTCCTAAAAAAAAAAATATATAAGCTTTAAAATAAAACTTAAAAAACTTAAACTCAAATCAAACTTTTTGTTACATAATTAATTGCGTTTGAAGCAAATTACTTCAAAACTTTTTTTTTTTTCTTTTAAAATGTTTTAATTAAGATATGCAAAACACTTTTACAAATTATTTCTAATGACTGTTTAATAAATGAACAAATTTTATTTATTTTATCAAAAAGTGAAGTTAATTTATTGAAAAGAAAAAATAATATTTATAAATTGTATAAACATTTTTTCAAAAAGTTGCAAAGTTTGTTTTTTTAAAATAGTTATTTTTAGTTATTTTATGCTCTGATTAGTAAGTCGTGTTTAAAAAAAAAGCTTTCAAACAATTCTTTGTAAAAATAGAAACAAAAAAAATAAACAAAAACAGTTATGTCATTCCATTACAATAGGAAGATTTAATTTAACTTATTCATAATTTAAAATTCACGAAAATAATCTTTTAAAAAAGATTTTTAAAAAGACATGGGAAAATAGTTTCAATTGCTTAAATTATCATAAAAAATACATGCCTATTAAAAAAAATATTAATATATATTTCATTTACACAAAATGCGTTTATTTTAAAAGATCATTATAAATTTAAAGCCTTTGCGTAGAATAAAAACTTTAGAAATGATCAACGATTAAAAGTTATTCGTCACAATTTTTTTATTGCATTAAATAATTAAAACATAGAAAAAGGTTGCAGTCAAATTGTAAAAAAAAATAATTTATAAGCATGGTCAGTTAAAGTGTGCGATCGCAAGCCATTCCTGTCCAAGCCTGCGCTGATAAAAAAAAAAAGTTACTCTGTAAAAATGGGGCAATTTAAAAATGCTGTCGCAATATAACTTATAAAGAAATTATTTAACAAAATGTTTTATCTTGAAAGTTTTTAATTTCACTTCACTTCTCAAAATAAATATAATTTAAATTTGTAAATGGTTTCTAAATATTGGTACCATGGATGCCCCTGAATTTCATATTTTTTAAGTATTCATATTGTATATAGTTCTTTGGCTTACCTGGCTTCATTTCTCAAAATAGATAAAATCTATTTATGTAAATGAATTTTAAATATATGTACCACAGAGGCTGAATTTACTAGTAAACAAAGAATTAAGCAATTTTAGAATCAAAAAAAAAACAAATAATAGCATTTTTAATTTATTCAATTTTTAGATTTATAAAACGGTCAATTGGTTGGTATTGCTGTTATTAAGTAACGTTGTTATAAGCCGGCACTATTATAATTGTTGTCACATACTAATTTTGGCATTAAACTGGCATTGTTATAATTGTTGTCGCATATTATTTATACTATTAAAAAACAATAGTTTTTAAGCCATAAAATCTAAACTAGTAATCTTTATATAAAATGATTATTGTTTTTGAATGTTTTAAAATTTCACTTCTTTTGAGACCCAACATGATATGCTTTTAAAGAATTTTTTTTTTCAAAATATTAGGGACTCGTCTTATTTTGTAATAATTATATATTATTTTTTTATAATTTGTGCATTATAATTATTATATTATTAATTATCTTTTGTTTTAAAATAAACTAGTACAAGCTAGTATAAGTACACCTGAGTGGTGTGTACATCTGAGTGGTGTGTACATCTTAGTGGTGTGTACATTTTAGTGGTGTGTACATCTGAGTGGTGTGTACATCTGAGCGACCCCTAAAAATTTTTTTTTAAATCTAGTATTAATTTATTACATAAAACACATTTAGAGGGTGCTATCAGACATTTTCAAAAAATGTTGTTTTTAGAACCACCCTAACCAGCAGTATCTAGAATTTGCTACATGGTTTCTATATTTTACCCTTAAAGGCTTTTAAAATTCAACTTTGCCACACATTTACAATTTTATTATTGTACTGAGTATTGAATGAAGTTTATTTTGTTCAAGAATAATTCATAAAAAAGGAAAGCAATATTGATAAATAAACTTCACTCTCAAAAAGTTTTTTTAAGAGTGAAGTTCATTCATCCATGTTGTAAGGAATGGACCACCTAAATGATCAGTGATAACTCAAAAACAATTTCCAGCAACTGGGAAGTGGTTACTTACACTAATACAATAACAATAATTAAACAACTTATAATTAGCCTTGTATTAGCTTCATTTTGAGATAAAGAAGTGTTTTGTTGAAATTCGTTGAAAACTATACAAAGATATGCAAAGAATTTAAAAATCTACAATGTTATGTCAAAAAATTGGAAAGTAATTATAACCTAATTTTTATTTTTCTAAAGCTTTCTATAGAAATATTATTGTTCGTTAGCAATTATCAACAAAAATATCTGTAATTAAAAACAATAAATTATATTTTCATTTATTAACAAAGACCTTGAAGAATTTGAATTTTAAAAACAAGAACTCGAAGCTTGAAAATTAGTATTAAGATATCAATATAAAAATAATTAAGTTTAAAAAAGAAAATAAACTTTTGTACTAAATTATGTGTTTTCTTCACCAATTAAATAATAAAATAAATCAGTCAATTCAAAACACAAACCAAATTCAATAATTTAAAACAGGGTTGCAAAAAAACCATTTTTTTTTTTGAAAAAAAAAACAAAAACCATGGGTTTTTTGGTTTAACTACTTTTTATAAAAAAAAGGCATGTTTTTGGCTACTTATAAAAAAAGGCATGTTTTAACTACTTTTTATAAAAAAAGGCATGTTTGTAAATTTTTTCAATTAAAAAAAAGCAGTAGTCATTTTACTTGAGTAAATGATATTTTTATTAACATTACTGCTGTAATTCATCAACCAATACATCATTTAATGTTCTGTATATAAAAACAAGATTTGCAGCCTTTTCTGCTCCTTTTTTTTTTTAAACTATGAATGAACAAGCTCAAAAGTTGAAAAAATTATTTCAATTTCAGCACTAGAAGCTGGTGCGTTTAACAAACCTTCAATCAGAGCTGTGGAGTCAGAATCACAGTTGTAGCGGAGTTGGAGTCGCTGAACAAAATCGCAACTCCGACTCCAATAGTAAAAATTCTCAGTATTGCACGTACATGTACAAAATAATTAACCTTCAAAAAATTTTTTGTATATTTAGCAAAAAGAAAATTTTTAAATTATCGCCTAAAATTTTTTAAAGAATTCAAAGAATTTTTCAAACATTTTGCTTTGGAGCCAGAGTTGGAGCGTACTCTGAAAATTTTAAATATTGGAGTTGGAGTCTGAGTTGGTACTTTTTTTTTGCGACTCCACACCCCTTCAATATCCATGATAATGTTGCAGTCCAAAAATTTTAGAGATTTCCATTCTATTTGAAATTTTTTAACAGGTTCACTATATAAATAGCTTTTATCGAATGGAGCAGATTTGGCTTTCAACTTGATTATTATTGGTAGCAAGTTCTTGAATTCTTTATCTGTAAAGGTCATTTCAGCTTCATTTTCATTTTCAGAAAGATTAGACACAAAATATCTAAGATCGTTAAGCGTGTTTGCAAAGAAATGAGCATCACTGGCAGTCTAAAGATATCTAGTTTACAATATTTATTATATATTTTTTCCAATATATAATACATATTTTTCAGTTGATAAAAATGATAACATGTTTATTAGCTCTTTAAAAATTTCAGCAGTGTCCATTATTTTTGTTTGATCTCTTTGCATTTTATCTAGAGCAACTTCAATTGGTTTTAATATTTTCAATAAAACATTAGTTTGGTTTAAATTGATATTTTTTCGATTGGTTTAAATCATTGGTTTAAACTATTTGGTTTAAACTATTTGGTTTAAACCTATCAACCCTGATCTAAAATAATATTATGTTGTTTAAAACATTAAACAGTTATGTAAAAGTTAAAAATAGAATATGACTTATTAAAAATAGTTAAAACTAGAATTGTTTAAAACAAGCTCATTATTAGCAATTGAAAATTTTAACAGTTGAGTTAAAATTTTAAACAAAATAATTGAGAACCTCATTAAAATTGTAAGGATGCCTCATGATTTTATTAGGATTAAGTCTTACTTGGTTCACATGTTATATGGATTATTTTTATTTTTTTAACTCTGCTAATGGTGATTTATTTCAAAATGGATTTGTGTAGTTAGGTAAAAGTATTAAATAATTTATAAATTAAATCTATTTTTTAAATGATAAATTGTAATTTTTACTAAGTACTAAAATAAAATGTAAAATAAAAATCTTTAAAAAATTATTTAATGATACTTAAACCTTTTTTTATTTTATTATATTTATTCTTCTCTCCCCTTATATAGCAGTAGATAAATGAAGCATTTGTGATTTTAATTGCATTTATATATATATATATATATATATATATATATATATATATATATATATATATATATATATATATATATATATATATATATATATATAGAGAGAGAGAGAGAGAGAGAGAGAGAGAGAGAGAGAGAGAGAGAGAGAGAGAGAGAGAGAGTGAGAAAGAAGATAAAGTATTAATATCGTTTTCTATTAAAAAAACCACATGAAAAAAATTAATTTAATGCAAACAAAAATGATTTTAAATGAATTCGAACCCCTCTTTTGCATTTGAAATTTGATAAATGATTAAATTATAAAAAACAATTCAAATGTTAGTTTGCTTTACTGCTTTTAAAAAAAATTTCTGACAAAATAATATAAATAATACTGATTGGAACAACTTAAATTTCATACCTGTTGAAACGTTAAAGTTAAAAGTTTTAAGTTTCACAATAACTAAAATTTTTGATTGATTTGCCAACTTTTTTTTTATGAACTGTCACATTTATAAGTTGTTTTATTATTGCAATGTTTGTTGTCTATTAATTGCAATGATTGTTGACTCTACTAAATGCAATGTTTGTTGACTTTTTTAATTGCAATGATTGTTGACTTTATTAATTACAATGTTTGTTAGATTTGCGTCAAGATATGTTAACTGTATTATCATTGCGAATCATGGATAATGTCTGGAAGAAAGCTGGACTTGACTATGGTATTATTCCATATCGATGTCTTTCTACTGGTCCAATGCTCGGATTAATTGAAGTGGTACCAGAATCTGAAACATTAGGTAAGATACAGTTTGCTCGTGGTGCTTTTGGTACATGGAAAGATGACACTTTTTTTTTGTGGCTGAAAGACCAATGTCAAGGATCAGATGAGTAAGTGAAAAAGTAAAGTAAAATTTTAAAGCTGTTAAAAGTATATACATGCACTCTCATACTTTCACAAGCACTCTTACACATACAAAAAATACTCTCATGCATAAGCATTATCTTCGTTCACTTACAAAATAGCATCAATCCTATATAATAAATGAATTTGTAATTGTAAATTGAAATAAATTTTGGCTGACAAAAATTTATTTGTATTGTTATTTATTTAATGATAGGAAATTGGAAAAATTTATACAGAACTTCACTAGATCAGTTGTTGGTTATAGTATTGCTACATATGTGTTAGGAGTTGGTGATAGACATAATGATAATATAATGATGAAGAAGGATACTGGTCAGGTATTTATGTTTAACATGATGTTAAGTAATCTAAAAGTTGTTGCAAAATTTGCCAAGGCTTCACTACAGTTAAGGAGGCTACTCTTATTTTTTTTATATTAATTTTGTTTGCATAGATATAATTTCAAAGAAAACATCAAATATTAACACAAAAAGGGAACACTCAACAAACACTCAAGCACATGTTTTGTTTATCATTAAACAAAACAGGCTATTTGGTTAAAAAAAATATTTTTATTTTTATAGTGATGCGAAAGCATTTAAAGATAAAGTATAAAATAGAGTTTTCATTATTACTTCTTACAAAAAGAGTTCAAAGCACTTCTCAAAAAGATTTCAGAAATACAAAAGCATAAGATACAATTGCCACTAACAGATATCATTGATGGACTTTCATTTAGCATTGTTGCTTAAAGTAAGAGATTACAATAATTAGCTTTAGCCAAATGACACAAAAATTTTAGTTCAATTTCTATTAAAAATATTTTATCAACTATAAAATGTTTCTAATAAAAATATTTCCTAAGGTATTAAGGCTCAATTGATGGCTGAATTTAAAGACATGAAAACAAATTTTTAAATTTGTTTCCATTTTAAAGTTGAATCTTTAGAGTGCAAACAAATTTTTTTTTCTTTGTAAATGTGGTAGTGGTGTAGTGGCTCATTTTGTAAATGTGGTAGTGGTGTAGTGGTGTGGTAGTGGTGTGGTAGTGGTGTAGTGGTGTGGTAGTGGTGTGGTAGTGGTGTAGTGGCTCATTTTATAAGCGAAAAGTTCTGATTTTGATCCCCGCCACGTTTCTGGTATACTGGGCTCAACTAGTTTCAATCCACAGCAGCCTTGTTTGTCAAGGTTAGTGTTTCGGAGTTTAAGAGTTGAGAGAAGGTTGTAGCCACAATAAAGTAGCCTCCTTGACCTTGGAAAAATAAATAACACAAAAATGACAAATAAAAAATAACTCTGTTTAGTAAGTCAAGTAAATAACTTCTTTACTTTTTTACTGTTTCTTTATACAATGAACACCACTTGTTAAATTTCTTAAATATAGTTTTTTTTTTTTTGATTTTTTTTAAATTATATTTGTATATAATTGATTGTATAGTCTAATGATATACATTTATTTTAATTTTTATATTTTATTCAAGTTTATTTATAGTTATATCAAAGGATTTCTTAAATATAGTTATTAGTAATTGAAATTTTATTTAGATATTTTTCCGTATAGACTATTGTTTTATTTTAATGTTATAGTTGTTTCATATTGATTTTGGACATTTTCTGGGAAACTTTAAGACAAAGTTTGGATTCAAAAGAGAGCGAGTTAAATTTGTTTTAACTTCAGACATTGTTTATGTGATTAGCAAACATATGAATATAGATGAGTAAGTTAAAATTTTGTTAAAAGTTAAAATTGCAACTTAAATTGCTTTTTAGATAAGCAATCATCTTTTTAGATAGGCACTGAATTTGCCAGCTGCTAGGAATAATGTCAAAATAATTCCGTTTTTCCTAAATTTAGTATTAAAAAACTCCACTTGGCAATTCTTGAGCGTATTTAACTTTTACTGTAAATTTTAAAAATATATATAAATTATTTTTACTTCTTTGTGAAATGTGTCTTTAGATATTTCAGAAACATATTTCAGAATATATTAGTTAATTATATTATATAATTGTTAAATATATTATTGCTAAATCTTTAGTAAAAAAAATAATTGCTTTAAAATTAAAGAATACATTGAAGTCTTTTTCAAATTTTTAGTATTATTATTCTGCTTTTTAGTTTTAGGTTTTTCTTGACCCATTTTCAACCACACTTTCCTGCTCTTGAAGAGTCTGTTTTAGTCCTTGCAGGCAGCTATTCCTTCATCAAACTTATAGATTGTACAGAAACATTCAGTTTTTCTGCAATTTTCTCCTGCTTTAGTCCACTGTTTTCAAGCAAAACCAATATTTGATCTCTCTTCCATGGAATCACGTCCCTCCTCCTACCCATGTCCTACCCATGACTACTCCTGACTCAAGTTCCTCCTCCTACTCAAGTTCCTCTAGGAGGAACTTGAGTCAGGACTACTCCTGACTCAAGTTCCTCCTCCTTGTAAATATGCAAGTTTTTATCTTTCACATAATAAAAACAAAAGACAAAATGGTTACTAATTGCAGTTAGTAAATTAATTGCAAAAGCTGAATTTTTCTAATAAAAGCTTGAAAATGCTCAGTACAATGTTTGGTTACAAAATATTTTTGCTACCATCATTAGTTTTATAACAAATTTTTTATACATCTTTAATTAATCTTTTTTATGTCTTTATTTAAGCTGATTTAAATATTGTTTTTTTACATTTTTATGTTATTCTTTTTCAAAAACATCTAGATTTTTTAAATTAGTTTTTTGTTTATTTTTAATATTTTTTAATGTTTTTTAATTTAATTAATTAAAAAGTAATTTATTTAAACCAAAAAAATTCTTACATAACTGTAAAACATATAATTTGGGAAGGTGGATAGAAGTGAACCTACAGCAATTTTACAGTTGTTGCAAGTAAAAACAAAGTTTTTACCAATTTATAAAAATGTTTAAATGTTTATAAAGTACATGTTGACTAAGTTGTGATTGCAAGTTAAAATTATTTTTACTGAACAGCAAAAGAGTTAATATAATACAGAATTTTTTTGATTTTATTTGTTTGTTTTCTAATTCAAATTTCTTTTCAATTTTCATTCCAAAGTTTGATAAAAAAAATTTAATTTGAACTTTTCTATTTATTTATCTAAGGAAGTATCCTGATTGGATAATTCTTGGTCAAGTGACTTTTTTGAAATAATGATTTGTGAAATTCATCTGAATTATTTATTAATTTCTTTAGTGTTAGTTATTGTGTTGGAAACATATCAACTTTGCTTCAAGTTTTAAACTTTGCGATACAAATAAAACAATTTTCCTGGTCTTTCATTTGTCAACTTGCGACATTTGACACTATGAATATTTGCATGCTGCTAAAACCTCTTTGACAAGCAGCACTAGTAGCTAAAAGCCAAAGAATATTTGCTGCTACTTTTGATAATTCAATAGATGGACATAATCCTTTTTTTTTAAATGAATTTAAAGCATTGCCTTTAAGTCTGTGTTGTCCTTAGTATGATACTCTGCCAAGGTTGATGGACTTTAAATAAGCCGACATGAAGTAAAGTTTTCTTTTTTGTTCTCAAACAGTTTTTTATATCAATTTCAGATTTAATTTTGTCAACAATACGAAGTAGAATATGTAATCCAGGCATGTTTATAATCTCAATGACTTTTTTCTCAGGATCTTCAGTAAGAAGAGAAGGATAAATGTTATTTTGTAGTTTTTAGGTCTGATTAAGTTAAGAACCATTTTCTAACCATTTTTGGTGCCATTGATGCAAAGAACTGATTTTGTTTGCTTTTGTCAATAAAGGTATCTCAGTTTCACAGAATGGACAAGGATGTTTAGAAGATGCACATTGCTTTCCAACCATTTGTAATTGAACTTTAATGTCTTCTGATAATGAGTAGTCTAAACATCCTGTATTAAGTTTTCTAATAAATATTCTCAAATTTACATACCTTTCATCCATGTGAGGTACAATTACTAGAATAATGGTTTTAAAAACACTGGAATCTTTAATTTTTTTTTCTCATAGCCTTCCAAACATCTTGTTCTCTTTCAAGGGATTTTCTGGTCACTTTCCTGAGGCTTGTATGTTGAAGAGAGAGTACACTTTAAAAAACCCTGTCCACCATCTATTTCCACTTTAATATCAATCTCATGTGGTAGTAGTTTCCTATAGTTTATTACCAAAGATATCAACTTCTCTACATCATTGCAAATTACCCCAGGAACCTCTTCTTGACTATGCTAAAGAAATTCTTGTTTAGTTAAATTAAAATAAATTATCTAAACTATAAAAGTTATCAATTTTTTTATAAAACATTTAAATACCTCATGGGAGTTTCCCATTTTATCTTTTGTGAAAATATTTAAAAGTTCAGAATGGAGGGAATTAGCAATAATTTTTTGTAACTTTTGCTGCTCTATAGTTCCTTGCAACATAATCTCTATCAACAGCTTCGTTCCTAAGAAGCATAGTAATCATATTTTTGTTGCTAAAATTAAGAGTAGAAGATACAACTCTTAGAGTAGAAGATACAACTTAGATACAACTCTTTCTGAAAAAAGTACTTTACAATATATAAGACAGTATTTGGAAAGAATCCACCTTTCTGGTGGTTTCTTTCCAAATTTATATCTACTTCTTTATCGAGTTGGGAGGAACATGCCACTAAGAGAGTTTTTTTTTTTACTGTTAATAGTTTCCTAACCTTTTTAACATGTAAAACATTCGCATCTGGTTCCTCTCATAACTCTAGTGTTCAAATCTAATGATGAAACTTTATAACCACTTTACTGAGCGTTATATGCTTGGTTACAAGGTTGTTATCTGAAATATTTATCTTAATATTTATCTGAAACTAAATACATAATTTTTTTAACTTTTAAAATAATTTTTGCTTTCGTATTTGGGTTCTCTTCTTCTAGTTCAATTACTCTTCTTCGGCATAAAGGACATAATTTTTTAGGCAGATTGCTATTTTCCAAATTATAATTTTTCCAGCAGTAATTTTTTATAATATTTTCATAACCTGTACTCATTTCCCCATACTCCCTTGGTTTGATAAACCTTAATTGTGTATTATCTTTCTTTTCTTTATTAAGACATAGAAGGCTAACAAGTTTTAAGAAGTCATTGTGCTCTTTTGGTTTCATTTTGTTAAATATATTTTTTCTGTTTTCTATTAAAAAAAAATTAAAATTTTTTTTGGTTTAAACCAAGAAATATTTTAATAAAAAATAATATAATGATTAAATTAATATAAAGCAATATAACCTTACAAACGTTTGTAAGGTTACATAGCTTTATATTAATGCTGGTGTTGACAGTATAATGTGTAAAACACTATTATTAATAATTATATCAATTATTTTTAGAAGATATCATAACATAGTGTTACCACAATTTATAATACAAATATACTACCATATAAGGTTGTATATAATACATAAATCAATACAGATAAAATAAACTGAAAAAGTGCAAAGTAATACTTTTTCAAATATAAACTTATTATTATCAGTCTCACTAACTATTGTACTCTTTCTTTGTATTCGAAATGAATATTTATGTCAATAAATATGGTATTTAAATTTGGTTTATGTAATTTTATGTTTTTTCTTGATCTTGTCTTTTTTCTTGAGGTCTTGATCATGTTCAAGCCCACTTTGTACTTTTTGTGTGTGTGTGTTTTTAACTTACGACAAGTAAAGTTATCTAGTTAATTTTGAAGAGATGCTTAAACTATATTTCTTTTTATATAAAACCTTTTTTATTTTTTCTATTTACTTGGAAGCGCGCATTTTTAGTGAAACTTAACGTCGTAATAATACTATTTATATTATATATAATATAACTATAATATTATATATATAACTCCTGTCCAATTATCTTTAAGAAATTTTTCGTGAACTTTTTATTTTTTTGTAGTTTTTATTTAAATCTTGTTATTCTTTTATTGCATAACACTTTTATTTACTACGTAAAATATTTAATTGTTTATATTTTTTTATTTTAGCTTGTAAATTTTATAAAATATTAACGTGATGTTTTAAAATGTAATTAAGAACAAAAAAAAAGAAAACTCCTAAGTTCGGCGTTGCCGACCCAACTGCCGACCTCACACAGATTAAGGTCGGCAAATCGTTGTCGCCCTCATTTTCCCTTATTCCGAGGGCTGTATATATATGTATATTAACATTACTTTTCTTTTTTTTTAAATAATTTACCAATTTTTTTATACAAACATAATATCCACGTTTATTTGTGTGTATTACTATTTGATTTAATTAACTTCTATAATCTACGCATGCGTTGTTTTTAAGAGATCTTTATGAGATATTCTTTGCAAGCTGCAACAACCTTGATTGGTTTAAATATTTGAACTAATGAATATTTTTTTAAAAATTTAGCTTCAAGGACATGTGTATTGTTGCTTTCAAGACGCTTAGAAGTCGTGGAAATTTATTCATTACCATTTTTGCGATGCTGCTGTCGACTGGAATTCCAGAGCTTGAACATCCTAATGACATAGAATACATACGTGAGTCCATGGCGTTAACGAAAGATGAAGCAGATGCGGTTAAACATTTTGAAATGTCTTACAAAGAAGCCTACAATAACCGAGCTTCTACTACATTAAATTGGAGTCTTCACAACGTAGTTCACAATTGGTAAATTTTTTTTTATAAATATATTAATTATGATTTTTCCTCTCGGAAATTTAAGGAATTATTAATTAAGCAATCTCCCGAAGCAGAAGCAGTTTTATACCGCATTTATACCGCGGATATTTGATACAAATTATTTTGTTTTAAAACACTCTTTTTTTGGTTTTAAACACATCGCGAATTAATATTATTGATTTTTTTTTAAAAAATGTAAATAAAATTTCATTCATAAATTTATAAGCACAATTATTTTGTATAAACTTTCTGATTGAAAATTTGTAAATAAAAATTTTGCTTTTAATTGTATTTTATTGTGATCTCTACTGATATCCTTTAGCTGCAGGTAATTTATATGTTTAAGGTAGGGTTGGTACCCAAAAACCTAACTTAATTTCCAATTAATTTCCAACACTCAAGATTTGATGCTGCTCAACAATTGTTCTAATGATAATAAAATAAGGAGTTTAGTGAATAAATGAGACTTTTATTTTACTAGTATCAGTAATATTCAAACCTAAAAATTTAAAACAAAGTCATCAAAAATTTTGTGCATCTTTTTACTTAACGAAGGAAATAGTCATGAAAAAATAATTATTGTAAAGATTCCATTCACAATTGGTTTACTATTTTCTGTCAGTTTTTTTTTTTTTTTTTCAATAGTAACCGTTTCTTATGATCTATAGACTGTTTATTGAAAAAAGTCTATTGGGGTAAGTTGGCAAGATTTTCAAGGGGCTAGTTACCTCGTAATATTTACTATCAATAAATATATTTTTATTAAAAAAAAATAATAATCGCGCACAACACTTTGATCACATCGTCGCACAACACGATGATCACATCATCACAAAACACGATAATCACATCATTGCAAAAAACAATAATCACAAATCTTAATCTTTAGAGAATTACTTAATAGAGAATCCTGAATGTGTTAAATCTTTAACAACAAATAAATTTAATTTGCACTATTGTAACTATATTGTTTCTAACGATCAAAAAACATTTAATTAGCATCCTATATAAAAAATAAATGTTTTGAATTGTGAAATCAATACTAATTCATACAAGTTACAAGTTTTCTACGAGTAAATGTTTAACTTCTTCGGGAAGTATTAATTCCACTTTTTTTCTGCTTCGCAGCAAGCTGATCACTAGATTCGAGCTACACAAAAGTCTACTCATTAAATCCAAGTTTTTGTTTTTTTTAGAAAGTGTAAAAATTCTTTGAAGTTTTTTCACATCTTTGTTTCTGCTTTCCTGTTCTTTTTCAGAAAGCATACAAATAGGTAAGCTTTTGTTGCGAACTATCTGGTGAGAGTGCATTAACAATTTGTGTAAACTCTGCGGCATATAATACCAGGGGTATAGATAAACAAAGCGTTTGGCTGTTTAGTTGCAATAGGTCTCTAGAGCCTCAGTTAGTTTTTTATTAAAAAGCATACCCTGAAAAAACGTCTTGCCGTATTACTATCGTTGAATGTTCCAGATCCACCAGATCTAGCAAGATCTACTACCAAACCTTTTTTTTATTATTTTGCTCCTGAACAAGAACACCTTTGTTCTCTTTAACATATCTAAAACGTATTGGTCTACAGTACAAAGTTTAGGCTTCTCATTAACCCTTAGAATTTCAAATGTAGCAACTACAGACAGTTGAAGTGGTACCAACAAAGTCAGGAATAAACTTTCCTCAACAGAAGAATCTTCACGAATGCAATCTTCAGTTTTCTTCTCTTTTGCCTCTTGTACTGAATTATATAAGAAATACATCTTGTAGTGTCCTCTGTCCTTGGTTCCATTACACAATATTTGATAATCATTCTTGGATAGTTTGCATTTTAATACAAAAATTAAGAAAACTAAAATCAAAATTAAGAGGAATATTAGGGAAAATATATTCTGGATATTTTCCGAACATTTTACCCTACTGATTTTCCGGATTTTTAAAAATGACCTAGATGATCTATGAGTCTCGTAGATCATCCAGGTCATAGATCATAATTTTTTGGGTAGGAGTTGCCGGAGGTGGAATATACATTCTTTTTTATACATATCATACTAATCATGGCACTTGATATCTGAATACAATTTTTTTATACTCTAGAATTTAAAAGAATTTGAATAACTATTATACAGTCTTGCTCAAAAAGAGTGGGTTGGTAGTCTTTGAAGTCTAAAACATAATACTTTTGAAGATGTATTATTTCATACTTCCAATCCATTCATGTTGAAAAAAACTGTATTAAATAATGGCATAATAAATATAACATTCAAATATTGGCGTTGACAACATTACATTTGTATAGAAGACATATAACACTAAATGATTATTATATACATATATAATTAAATAATTACCAGGAAAAACAGGTGGATCTGAAAGTTGAATATTATCTACAGGATTGATATCACCATCTAATCAATTCTAGCACTTGACCTCAAACCGTGTCCTCCATTTCCTTCTTAGATTCCTCCATTAGATGTCCTCCATTTCCTTCTTAGTTCATAAAATCCTTTTTAATCTCATCCGATATATTCAAACCCTTCAAAATAATGTCAGCCTCGATATCTAATATACTGTTACCGCTTCATCGTGTTGAAACTGTTATTTAAATTTTTAAGTTTATTTATTTTGACCTCAAACCGTTACAGCGTGCTGTAACGGTTTGTGGTTAACGCTGCAACGACTTGTGGTCAATTAAAATTAATTGATCAACGCGTTGGTAGCGGGTGTTTATTATCTATTTAATTACTAAAAACAATGACTTGAATATAAAATTTTAAGCAATATAAAATATAAAATTTTAAGCAAACTACATAAATACTTTTGTAAAGTAATTTTTTGTTAAAATGTTTCAAAATTTGGTCAAGTCAACCTTTGACAACATGCGGTGACCGGGGGGGGGGGGCAAGTGGGGACAGAAAATCTTTTTATAAAGTGTTAATTAAAGTAATAAAGTATGCATTTAAGTTAATTTCATCTTAACGTATTATAACGTGTGGTAAATCTATTGCCGCAAAGTTTTTTTACATAAAAATTGTAAAAATTATGTCCTAATAATGTAAAAAAGTCGTCTAAAAAATTAAAATCACTGTTTCTTTTAGTAATTATAAAATCATAGCTAAATATGTATAAAGATTTTCAAATTCCTTAAGAATAGTTCATTTCTAAACGTCACAATTGTATTGCCAGTATTTACATGTTTTTCAAGTTTTTCACACATATTTTAACTTTTTGACTTTTGACATCCTAAAAGGTTTACAAAATTGATCAAGTGTATTTTAAAATAAACATTCATTGCCATCAACATATGCATCTTAGTTGCAAACGATTAAAAAAACCATCATAAAACCTTTCGTTTTGACTTTTTTGCTAAATTCTGACCCACTGTGCTCGGCAAAAGACAGATACATAACCCCCCCTTTACTTCCTTTAAGATCTCTTTGGGACGGCCCTGTCTTTACGGTTATTACCTAGCGTTGTCTTGCAAGTATTAATATTAAGCAAATATTTTTTGTTTTTAATGGCATTTGATACCAATGAGTCCATAATTGTCATTAAACATAAATATATTATACAGATTACTAAATACATAAGGTTGATTTTTTATTGATTTGTATAATTGATCAAACGTCCCTGTCTTTTTTTGCCAAGATATCGAATAAAATTAACCTGGAATTTTTTATTAACTAAAATAAAAAAAAACATAAACAAAAATTATGTTAAAACGTTTGAAAAGAGTTCTCTCGGTTCCGTTTACTATGAGAAATAAATTCTTAAATATATTATGTATAACGTATAAATATAGTCTATAGAACAGTTGACCTGGCAGCTGCAACGTCTCTGGTATATGTAAAACAATAATTTCAATAATTTACGTTTTAATAAAAGGTTTGCTTAATACAGATAGCTTTTTTTAATGGTTTAATTACTAGTCAAATACGTGGTAACAGTCTTAGTGCCTTAACTCATTGCGTGTTTTAACAATTTGTCGAGTATAAAACGACGACACCAAGGGGGCCAAGGGGCACGTGCTTCCCCACTTTTTTCTGAAACACCTTTTTTTTTTTTTTAGAAAATTCAAGATAAAGGGGACTTTTTTTAGAAATTGACGATTGTGCCCGACACTTTAAAACCCGTGTCGTCGGCCCTGTAATTTGAATTTGCGTGGCGAAATTTTAGACTTTTATTTCAAGGTACAAGTCGTGAAACTTCTAATGCAATTTAAACACGTTTAGTGATTGTTGAAAAGGTATGCTCTCAAGTCATAGTTCATTTTTTGTACAACACACAAAAGTTATTGGGTTGCAAAAACATGAAAATAAAAATGTTAGAGCATGGTAAGGAGGAAAAGATAAAATCATTACAATTTTTCGAACTTAATCTCTAAATTCCCACTATTTTTCACGCAATTTCAGAGTACTAAATAATCTTGGAGTTAACTGTTTACGCTGCTTGCAACAACAAGAAAACCACATTTTATTTTTTGTTACTTATTGCTGCCTGCAACAACAAGAAGTTACATTAAACTATTGCAGGGTGAAAACATTGCCAATGGTGATGTGTTGCAAAACATTCAAGCTGGTTTTCTCAAAAAAAAAACGAAACCAGCAATAGCCTAATAAGCAACAAATTAAAATATACGCAAAAATTTATTAAAAATTATTTTTGCTTACACATAAATATTTAGACATTCGGAATCAATAATGTTTTGAAGTCCGAAAGAAATAGAGGTAACTCTTTTCCTGTATACGCTCTGGATTTCTTCGGGATCCATTAAAACTCGTTAGTTCTTTCCACAACCTTCATTTAAAAAGCTATTCATATCACTAGCTATCATATAAGTATTCTCATTTGCATAATTGCAAAACGCGGCCTTTATAGCATTAGCATCAACACCAAGTTTTATTTTAGCTAAACTCAAAACTTGTTTGTCCTAATGTCGATTAAAAAAATGCCGATGTGATTGGAGTTTTGGATCTCAAAGCTTGTGCATATTCATTCTCATATTCAAATGTGATAGAAATGAGATGATTAAATTTTTTATTTAGAATTTTATTCTAAATTTACGTTCATAGTCAAATTTTAAATTTAATCCAATTATATTTTAGTATCAACCCGGTGGTTCCGAAACTTTACACGGTCGTAACTTTCAAACACTATGCGTTGAAATTAATAACTTGATAAAGAAACTTTAAAAAATTATTTAAAAAACTTTTTTATGTAAATATCATATTGATCCTTCCTGTGTACGAGCTTAAATTCATATTGCTTGCCACGCAAATAGTTTCTACCTAACTTTCCTAAACGTTCGCACCTAAACTTATTCTCCACAATTTTAGATTGTCTTTCAGCACACAAATTGAAATTGCATTTCACACGTTCCATCATCCACAAGGTTTTAAAACCATTTTTATTGAGCTCTTTCCCTGTAATATAAGAACAAGTAATTTTTTTTTGGTCGCCTCATATTTTTATGAATAAGCATGATCTTACTTTATTTCTCTATAATAAAACAAATAGTCGATATGTGACTTGAGAAACTTTATCAACATGAGGCATATTTATAGAATTTGCCAAGGTATTTATCGTTTTATTTTTTCGACTGATTGAACTCCTGTTTAAAAAATTTCTTTGCAATTATGTTGTCTTAATTATATTACAATTTGAAACTGCGCTTTCGGAAAAGGATCGAATTTTTAACAACAGATTGAAATTTGAATATATATAGATGCCGGGTGAATAAAAAAAAAGCAATGCTTTTACTCAGTAATTGTTCAGCTTTGAGTGAATAAAATTTTTAGCAAATTCGATTATATTTTTATTCACGTAAAGCTGAGCCATTTACTCCAAAAACGCTGAGTAATTGTTTAGCTTTGCGTGAATAAAAGTTTGAGCAAAATTAATTAAGTTTTTATTCACGTAAAGATGATGTTCGAGACAAACTCCAAAAATTTAAATGTTTATACTTATGTTTTTATAAAATTGCGATGATCGGAGTCTGGGAACAAAAAAGCCCTCAAATTTTGGCCACAACTGCCCCAAACAAGAGAGCAACAGGTCGATTAATTATTTTTTGTACAACTCTTAAATAATTATATATATCATAAAACATTCTCTTAACGTTCAAAAGTGACCTTGTAAAATTTGTAACTCCCTTTAATTGAGGGGGTTTCAAACTTTGAATAGTCATATTTTTGAACACCAAGAGGTTATTGTATAAAATTTAGAATTTACTGACGCATATACACTTATTTAAGAATAGTACAAATAATCTTTTATAAACTTGTTGATCTCTTGTTTGGGGGTAGTTATGGCCAAACTTTTAGGGCAATTTCCATACTCCAATCATAGCATGTATATATATATATATATCTTTTAATAACTATTTTATTCTAATAAGCACCTTTTTAAATAGGAACTTTAATAGATTAGAAAAGATTTCTATAGAAAATTAAAAAAAAAAAAAAAATGTTATTCTATTTATTTAAATTTCTTCCATTATTTATCATAAGTATATATAATACTTGTTTGTATCAACCTACTTTAATTGTTGCATTTGAAATGTACACAAAAAACCAGTTTGTTTACTAAGACAATAAACCGCTGGACTAAGTTTACAAACTGCATACATTTGTAAACACATTGAACTCTGTTTGTAAGAAAAAGTAAACCATTCATGAAGCCATTGGCTGCAAGTGGAAGGAAACTTTTCTATAAACATATTGTCATGTGAATGAAGTTTAAGCGTCCCTTGCAAATTAAAGGTTAGCGAACACTTATCAAAACCTGCACGGTTAATACTGATGTTTTTACACTTGCATATCACATACATTCTCCTATCGTCTCCCAGACGGAAGTATATACCTATTTCAAACCCGTTTAAAATAACAGGCGTTCGTAATGCGAATATGTCTGTAGTATTATTTTCACGTCGGATAAATTTCAAGTTACGAACTCTCTTGATAATTGGAAACGGTTTTTCATTTATTGTACTTCCGTTTGAATGGTATCGGTAAACAAATGTTTGCAACGCTTTTATGTACCAATTTTTGTACCCAGGCCATATGTTGAACGGAGATAGTTCATATGTCATTACGTTTGTAAGAAAGTCACCGGTAAGATCAGTAAGTTTTACAGTGTTTAAGAGCTTTTCAACAAATAGGATTATTTCATTTTTAAAAACTTCATTACTTAAAAAACTAGCGTGGGCTTTTAACCAACGTTGCATAGCATATACAAAAAGATTTCCGTGGTCGTTATTGAACCTCGCTTGAACATTAGGTTCTAAGAACCAATACATCGATTGCAAATGTAGTTGAAAAAATTTTAAAGGTGTTTTTTCTAAGCATTCATCTAAAGGATAAAAACTTTTTAAGAGCAACGGCCAACACGATTTCATGACCTTTAAACATTTATCTTTATGTTGTTGAAGCTCAGTTTGAATTTTTGACACCATTGAAGCAATTTGATTAATATCTTCAACATCGGTTATCGATGATTCAGCTCTAAGTCTATAAATGTCTAAGCATTTATCAATAAGACCGTCAAAACAGTACTTCATTGCCAGAGAACACACACGAAATATTGTACCAAGTTTGTGCTCATCTAATGTTTTTTTGTTATAAAAACAATGAAGCAAGATCATCATATTTTCCGTTTCATCTTTATCTACCTAAAACAAAAAGATTTTACTACATTTAACATTTAAGCATGTAACTAAAGATAATATTATGATTTAGTGTATATTTTAGCAAATACTTTTATTTACTTTCTTGAGTAAAAATGAGTTAATAGTTACTTATCCCCCATACTAATTTTTTTAAACGAATCAATACAAATAACATAATTTTAATTTTATATCTTTATCAATACACAGCATAAAAACTTATAATTTACTATAGAGAAGGAACAAAATAATTGCAATTATAGATGCTGCCATTAAAAAATTTAATTTTCTATGTATATATACGATATAATGTACATCGTATCACATATACATGCAGATCTTTCACATTTTTTAAAGTTTATTCCCTTTGGTTATAAACTTGATCTAATACGTTGCTTGATTAATCGAACACATAAGATCAACTGGCTAGGGTATAAGGTCATAAATGTTTGCATTATTAAAAAAAAAAAATCATTTTCAATTTTAAAAATTATTGATAAATATACATAAAAAAACAAACAAACATTTTTTATCAGTTACAAATTGTTGATAATATCAATATACTTTTGTTTTATAAACTTAAAATAAACTACAATAAAAATTCTAAAGTATGTTAGAAAATGAATGTCACTATAAAAAATCATATTCTAAACTAATAAATTACAAAATAGTTTTTTGCATTAAAGATCCACTTCCCGCTCAAACCTCATGTCTATAAAATCTTTAGTGCTGGCTGTAATGCCAATTGTATTTTGAAAAACCTCTAGGTTTTAACTAATAATGCTTTTTCATTGTTTTGCTAAAAATTTTAAAAACATGAAACAATTTTTATGAATAACACAATATAAGTATATAACACTATAAATGGAAGTAAATTAGGGTTGTACTTTGGTCAGTAAACTTTACAGATCTTATATGCAGATAGTACCTTACACCTAATCAAAAGCAACAAAAATTTATATGGATATTTTAGCCTAACCCGCAAACTTTAGAAACAATGCCATCAACCACGAATTCGCTTATCACTAGCATCTATATATGCATGTACAATTTATATGATATTGTTCAAACTTGAAAGTTTTCATTGCTGTTGCAGTTAAGGGTTTTTGGAGACCAAAAACTATGCATCTGGTAGGAAAAGGAGTAGGAAGAACAATTGTAAGCAAACATGGGTAGAAGTCAATATTAATAAAAAAAGAAAAACTTACAATTTAAAATGTAATTGGTATTATGTGTTTAATGCTGAATGTACAAAATTCCAAAAAATTGTCTCACATAATAAAATTTAAGATTACTTTGAAACCACAACAAACTTTTTATCTAAGTTGGTTTGAGCCTAAACACGGGCTCTCAAAGCTCCCTAAAAGATGGATATGAAAACCTGATAGGCCAGAGGGAACACATTAAAGGAGCATGCTAAGAAGGAGAAAATTTAAAAGTTCTTAGAGAAGAAGCTGGGTCTGCTTACAGATGTTCCCAGACCTGCAGCTGTATTTACATCTCTCCAATAAACTCTGCCATATGGTTTCAAATCTCATACATATTCATAATCAGAATGATTATTATTTATAAACTCACCTAAAAGATCCATATTGATAGATATGGTCCAGATGTGGTCTTAGTTGAAGTGGCTACTCTTTTTTTTATTTACTTCCAACCCTAAACTCTGAAACACAAACTTTATTAAGCGAAGCCGCTGCACAAAAAACAGATTTTGTAGAATACTTCGAGAAGTGGATGATAGATTTGAACCTCTTGACTGTAAAACAAGTGTTCTACTACTAGTTTTCTATTTCATGTCACATATACTGCATGTCACATATACTGCATGTCACATACTGTATATCACATATACTGCATGTCACATACTGCATGTCACATGCTGCATGTCATAATTGTTACATGTGTATAATGTCACATATTATACTGCATTTCACATATCACATACTGATTATCCCTAACTGAAGAGTTTTCGGAGTGTTAACATTGTTAATTTCCATATTGTTTTTTTTTTTTGTGATCCATTAATAAAAATGAGTTTTTTTAATATTTTAATCTTTATTTCTCAAATAATGAAACAAAGCTTAAAATTGTATTAATATTTCTTACTAGATTTAAAAAGAAAAAAAGAAAAAAATCTTATTTGCATATATAGAAAAATTTCCTAAATTCAACAAAAAAAAATGTAAAAAATAACCTTTATACTTGTGGAGTGGTCCAATCATAAAAATTTCTTAATAATAATATTTAGTTTATTTGCTCTCACCTTATGAAAAGCAATATTAGTTTTTAAAAGGGGTAAAGAGAAAAATTCTGTTGAACAACCTCACAAACTTTTAAGTAGCTTTCAGAGAGGTCAATTCTATCAACAGCTGTAAAATATCAAAGTATTAATAGTGCATATTGTTTTTTTAAGCATCAACTTGAACACCATTCATGTGCCATGAATGGTGTTCAAGTTGATGTTCTTGTTGGTTTTTTTGGTGTATTTTGTTGAGGCCAAATTAGGAGTCCTTTGTTATAATTTTGGATAGCTAAGGCAGGAGGAGGCACCTGGATAGTTCATTGCTTGGATTGCCAGTATCTATGACTGTGTCAAGTTCTCAAATAACTTAAAACATGACTAAAATACATAAAAATATTAAACATAAAACAACCCTCACCACATCTGGCTGTTACCACCACCTAACTGTTTTAATCTTTTATGAATATGTGTGTTCTTTGAAGTAACTTTTCATCAGTTAAATCTTAACTCCTGTAAAAAGATTTTCTTCCTCTTTGTGAGACTAATTTGAATTCAGATGTTTTATCATCAGATATAAGATGGCTATTATCTTTTGATGAAAAAAAAGACTCCAATAGTCTATGATCGACTTTGGCATATACTTATGCATTAATTCACCTTTTTGTTGTTAAGTCAGGTTTAAATCTTCTCACCTTTTATGTGCTTCAGTTTAGCATCTCTGCATTAAATTACGTTTCTCTTTGTTCTTCATTCTTTTCCTTCTTCTTAAAACAATGTTTTTCTGATCAAACCAACTAAAATCTTTCTTTTTATCTTTCACCCAATATTATAGTTATTGGTGTCTTTAATGTTCATCACACTAAATAGCTTGGCTCCAGCACCACTGACCCTGCTTGCACTGCTCTGCTTTAAAGCTCATAACTTGTATTCCTCAATTTTTTACTCAGATAGTTAACTTTATGACATGTCTTCCAGACAGTCTTAAACCCTTACCTTGACTCTTTTACCTTTTTTTGTCTCTGAGCTTGTGTTCAGTTTCTTTTCATTCTCTTTTAGGTGATCTCCTTCAGGTAATTTTAGGTGCAATGATCTCTATAAATCTTTTATCTGGCACTTCTTCTTCAGACTCACCCTATCATTAAAATAATCACCCTATCTATAACATAAAGCTGACTATGATTTTTTTCATGATTTTCTTCATGATAGTCCTTAACTAATTTTCGTCATGATGGCTTATAGTTTTTAATCTCTCTGCTGATAATTGAACTTCTTACATAATCTCCTAGATCCAGCTAGGTATAAAAGCTTTTATTCCTTCTCGTAGATTACAAGTCAAGCCTCATTATACCTTTTGGTTTTCACTTTTTTTGTGCAGCTTCTAATCTTTTATTTCATCTTTTTCAGAGAGGAAACTCTTTAGAACAAAAGACATTTTATTATTGCAAGAAATCAATTTAAAAAGATCTCATACTTCATTTCATGAGTTCTAGAGACTTTTTGAAAGTCTCCTATAGTGTCATTAACAATGATCTAATATTTTATCTCTATTACATGGGTCTGCTATTTTTACATCTCCCAAGAATAAGGCAGAACTATTGGCATAGAACTTTTCCTATAATTTAACTCTTGAATCCAACTGTCACACTCTTTTTGTCATTCCAGAGAAACAAGTTGATTAATTGTTAGGTAGGGTTATGGGTTAGGATTATTTCTCTCTTAAACATATTACACTTTTTTTTTTCTTGTGTTTTAAAGACATTCCTGCCATAGATTTACAAAAGTTTTCTTAAAAGAAAGAAAAACAAAAAAAAAAAAGAGAAAAAAAAAAGAGTTATCTCTAAACTATGGAAGAAGTACTTGTCAGAATTTTTTTTTCCTACCTGCTAGAAAATGCATTTCTCATTTTTAAAAACTATTAAGAACACTTTGACCCCTCTAACTATCATCCTATTAGTCTCCTTTCTATTATTAGCAAGATCTTTAAGCCTTTAAATAAACAAACTTTTTATATCATACTCTGAGCCTGACAACTATTTCTGACAAACAATACGGGTTTCAATCTTTTCTTTCTACAGCTGACATTAAATACAACTAAATATATAATTAATAAATGATATAACAGAAAGGTTCTATCGTGAATTAGATAAAGGAAGCAAGGCAAGGACTATGGTGTATCTGAGAAAGTTTTTGAGGTAACTAAGTCATTCCATTCTTACTGCAGTATTAAAGTCAGGTCAATACTTTTCTTTATTTCCAGTAATTTCTGGGGCACCACAATGTTCTATCCTTGGTCCTGTATTGTTTCTTGTCATTATTAATAATCTTCCATCTAAAGTGGCTCTACTCAGTGATGAAACAACCATATACTTCTGTTTTGACAAAAAGTCATCAAAATTTGATCACTTAGAACAGGCATCTAATCTTGAATCTGATCTCTCCTCTGTAATAGCCTAGGGCTTGCAGTGGCTTGAGAATTTTAACTCCAGCAAAACTCCATACTTTACTTCAAACAATTATCACAATACTGATGATTTTCTTATATAAATTAATGATAATACTCTGACTGAGTCACTATCTTTATAGTTAAAAGATTGCATCTCTTTCTTTTTTTCTACAAATACTATCATGGCTGCTGTTTAAATGAGCTACCATTACTAGTTCCATCAACCAAAATTCTTTTACTTTATCTGTCTCTTCATGCTTTTAAAACCTTTATTTGTCTAGTTTCATTCCTCACACATCGATGCTCGGAAGTCTCTTC